TAGGACTGCCTTTGCTGCATCCCAAAGGTTTTGGACTGTCATGTTTTTATTTTCATTTGTTTCCATGTATTTTTAAATTTCTTCTTTAATTTCCTGGTTGACCCATTCATTCTTTAGTAGGACATTCTTTAGCTTCCACGTATTTGTGGTCTTTCCAAATTTTTTCTCGTGGTTGACTTCAAGTTTCAGAGCATTGTGAGAAAGAAAGAGAAAGAAGAAAGAAAGAAAGAAAGAAAGAAAGAAAGAAAGAAAGAAAGAAAGAAAGAAAGAAAGAAAGAAAGAAAGAGAAAGAAGGAAGGAAGGAAGGAAGGAAGGAAGGAAGGAAGGAAGGAAGGAAGGAAGGAAGGAAGGAAGGAAAGTAGGAAAAGAAAAGAAAAAAAAGGAAAGAAAGAAAATACACAAGGTATGACCTCAATCTTTTTGTACTTCAGGGCTGGTTTGTGACCTAATATGTGATCTATTCTGGAGAATGTTCCGTTTGCACTTGAAAAGAATGTGTATTCTGCTGCTTTTGGATGAAATGTTTTGAATATGTCTGTTAAGTCCATCTGGTCCAGTGTGTCATTCAAAGCCATTGTTCTCTTGTTGATTTCCTGCTTACGTGATCTGTCCATTGCTGTAAGTGCAGTATTAAAGCCCCTACTATTACTATATTGTTATCAGTGAGTTTCTTCATGTTTGTAATTAACTGATTTACATATTTGGGTGCTCCCAAGTTGGGGGCATAAATATTTACAATTGTTAGATCTTCTTGTTGGAAGACCCCTTTATTATGATATAGTGCCCTTCTTCATCTCTTGTTATAGTCTTTGGTTTAAAATCTAGTTCGTCTGATATAAGGATGGCTACTCCTGCTTTCTTTTGATGTCCATTAGGATGATAAATGGTTCTCCACCCCCTCACTTTCAATCTGGAGGTGTCTTTGGGTCTAAAATGAGTCTCTTGTGGGCACCTGGGTGGCTCAGTTGGTTAAGTGACTGCCTTCTGCTCAGGTCATGATCCCAGGGTCCTGGGATTGAGTCCCACATCCAGCTCCCCCTGCTCTGTGGGGAGCCTGCTTCTGCCTCTCCCTCTGCCTGCCACTCCCCCTGCTTGTGCTCTCTCTCTCTAATAAATAAATTAAATCTTTAAAAAAAAACCAAAAAATAAAATGAGTCTCTTGTAAGCAGCATATCGATGGGTCTTGGGTTTTTTTTAACTGAATATAGTTTTATTTATTTTTACAGTATATATATATATATATGTTTTTTTACTATGTTCAGTTAGCCAACATATAGTACATCATTAGTTTTTTACATAGTGTTCAATGATTCATTAGTTGCATATTCACATCACATGCCCTCCTTTATACCCAGCATGTGGTTATCCCGTCCCCCACCCCCCTCCCTTCTGTAACCCTCAGTTTGGTTCCCAGAGTCCAGAGTCTCTCATGGTTCATCTCCCTCTCTGATTTCTTCCCATTCAGTTTTCCCTCCTTTCCCCTCTGGTCCTCCATGCTATTCTTTATGTTCCACATATAAGTGAAACCATATGATAATTGTCTTTCTCTGTTTGACTTATTTCACTTAGCATAACCCCCTCCAGTTCCATCCATGTCAATGCAAAAGGTAGGTATTCATCCTTTCTGATGGCTGAGTAATATTCCATTGTATATATGGACCACATCTTCTTTGTCCATTCATGTGTTGAAAGGCATCTTGGCTCCTTCCACAGTTTGGATATTGTGGACATTGCTGCTATGAACATTGGGGTGCATATGGCCCTTCTTTTCACTACATCTGTATCTTTGGGTAAATACCTAGTGGCGCAATTGCTGGGTCATAGGGTAGCTCTATTCTTAACGTCTTGAGGAACCTCCATACTATTTTCCAGAGTGGCTGTACCAACTTGCATTCCCAACAGTGTAAGAGGGTTCCCCTTTCTCCACATCCTTGCCAACATTTGTTGTTTCCTGTTTTGTTAATTTTAGCCATTCTAACTGGTGTGAGGTGGTATCTCATTGTGGTTTTGATTTGTATTTCCCTGATGGCTAGTGAGCATTTTTTCATGTGTCTGTTAGCCATATCTTCTTTTGAGAAGTGTCTGTTCATATCATCTGCCCATTTCTTGACTTGATTATTTGTTTTTTGAGTGTTGAATTTGAGAAGTTCTTTTTTTTTACTTTGCCCATTTTTATTTTATTTTTTTATTATGTTATGTTAATCACCATACATTACATCATTATTTTTTGATGTAGTGTTCCATGATTCATTGTTTGCATATAACACCCAGTGCTCCATTCAGTACATGCCCTCTTTAATACCCATCACCAGGCTAACCTATCCCCCCACCCGCCTCCCCTCTAGAAGTTCTTTATAGATCTTGGACACCAGTCCTTTATCTGATATGTCATTTGCAAATATCTTCTCCCATTCTGTGGGTTGCTCTTAGTTTTGTTGACTGTTTCCTTTGCTGTGCAGAAGCTTTTTATCTTGGTATCTGTCGATTTTGACTACAAAAATAATTGTTTAAAAGTTGTATACATGTCAGAATGGTAAGCACAGAAAAAAACCACTTTTCATTTGTGTTGTCTTTAACATCCATTTTAAAAAGCACAAGCATCCCAGTAGAGAAAAGGACAGATATAATAGCAGGATAATTTGAGGAATAATTCCCATGGTTAAGAATCAGATGAAACAAATATTCAATCTCACTAGTAACCAAAGACATGCAAGTTAGAACAATATTATTTTATACATACATATGAAATTGTTAATGATTAAACCCAGCAATGATACTAGGACAAAGTGTGGTGGTTAAGAGCATGGACTCTAGGGTCATGCAGATCTAGGGTGGAATTCTATCCCCTCCATTTAGTAGTTGTATGACCTTGGTCAAGTCATTATCTTCCCTGGACCTCAGTTTTCTCACCTGTAAAATGGGGATAAGAATAGTTTCTGTATCCTAAGCTTGCTGTGAGTATTGTCTGAGATAGTGTAATGAAAGTGTTCAATATTAAAAATGGGATTAATTCAATAGTATTCATAAAAATACAGCAGATGTAACATTTTTAGCAGTTGTTATGTATCAGACATTATGGCTGGTGTGCTCTATATAGGCTGCCTCATTTCACTGAGACTTTAGGACTTAAGGGGGCTGCTTCATATTAGGATTACTCTGTTTAGGAAAATCACCAGCAGAAATAGTCACATTATAATTTATACTCCTGCCATCTCCCTCAATCCAGTTTTACCTAGGGTATGGAACAGGCATTTAACTGTCTAGTGCATAGGCATGAGTTCCTAGGAGGCCTGCCAGTCAGGCTGAAGTGCACTGTATCCCAACAAGAGGCCTCAGAATCACTCTCCTGAGCTCCACATTGAGCTTAACCCCTGGGAAAAGATGCCCTCAGTTCCCCCAAGACCTAGCCAGAGTTGGCTGGAGGACAGGCTGCACAGTGACACTGAGGTTGGCTCTAATGAGCACTTTGGGAAATGGTGTTCCAGGAGCCTTTAAAACCCTAAGAAAGACTCTTGTCTTTTCAGGCCTAGGGAAGCTGAAAATGAATCATACACTCCATGTTCCTAGTGAACCCTCAGTTCAATAGACCCCAACTTTACTGACAGAGTCTGAAAGGTCCCAGGCACTTCCTCATTGTGGATTATCCATACAGGAGAGAGAAATGGGGAATTTGAAGATGCCTGACACTGACTCATGCTTTCACAGGTGAGAATCTGGAAGGGACAGCGCGCGCGCGCGCGCGCGCACACACACACACACACACACACACACACACACACACACACACACCCCTCTCTTTTCCCAGCCCAACAGCTAAGCAAAAGTTCCCCGGGTAGATATAAGCCTCTCTATGAACCAAAGAACAAACAGAGGATTAAATATTCACAGAAGCTTCTAAGGTCAAAGTTTCTACAAGGCCAATATGAAATGCCCTCTCACACCAGCTCCTTCCAAATCCTAGGGGAGCAGAAGAAAAGAATGGCTCCTTTCAAGCCCAGGAAACCAGAGCCTAGTTCCTTTCACCTTCCTTCCCCTGAGGAAATATTGAGGCGATGTGGTACAACTGTAGGGGTGAAGGCACAGGCTTTGGATTAAGGCATACCTGCATTTGAATCTCATTTACTAGTTGTCTGAGTACACCAAGTATCTCTGAAGCTCAGTTTCACCATTTGCAAAGTGGTCGAGGATACCTACTTCATAGCCTTGTGAAGAATAAAACAGTGCCATGAAGGTGTCTGATATTTAACCAGTCTCTACAAACAGGGGCTGATCATGACAAGAGGCCAGGAGAACTGAAATATCAGCTCCTAGAGCAAATACAGGTGCAGAGGAGCCGAAAGGGGAAGAGGACAAAGGAGAGAGAGTGATGTAGGGGCAGAGGTGGCCCTCTCCCTGTTTATGGAGGGGAGGTCCTAGCAAAGGATGGAGAGGATGGTATATCACAGACACTCACAGCCCCCAGCCTATATATCCTGTGCCACCAATTAAGGAAAGGCACAGAGGATGACCACAGGGAATGGTGTGATCAATTTCTAGGGATTGGGGAGGCAAGTAGAGAGGAGGCTATTTTGTTTAATTGTGTGTGTGTGTTGGGGGAGAGGCAGCAACGGAGATCATCCATTTCCTTTTCAATTGGTAAACGTAAACGACTTTTCCAATCTTGCCTTCAAGGATATGCTCAATTCTTACCTCCTCCAATAGCTTACAATGACTAGTCAAAGTGATCTCTTCTCTGGACCCTATTATAACACAAAAAGCACAATTTGCATTTGTATGGATATTATCTTGCCTTTCTATGCTCCATGGGTGTTTTCTTTCATCCCCCGTGAGATTCAAGATTTTCATTGGCAAGGTGCATTTATTCCCCCTTTTTTTCCCCCAATATAGTTCTGGCTACCCAGATACATATCTGTGATTGATCTAGTAATTAAATACTAACACATGGAAGGGTTTTATCTGAACAGATAACAAGAACTAGGGGGGATGGGAAAACCAAGCAGAGTGAACCAAACTGCTGTTTCAGACTTCCTCCTTCTTGGACTCTCTGAGAAGCCAGAGGAGCAACCCCTCCTATTTGGCGTCTTCCTGGGCATGTACCTGGTCATCATCCTGGCCATCAGCTCTGACCCACACCTTCATACTCCCATGTACTTCTTCCTGGCCAACTATCATTAACTGGTTGCATTATGATAGGTTGCAACCTATCATTAACCAGGCATTAACTGATGCCTGTTGCACCTCTGCTTCAATCCCTAAAATGCTGGCCAACATTCATACCCAGAGTCGGACCATCTCCTATTCTGGATGCCTTGCACAGCTGTATTTCCTCCTTATGTTTGGTGGCCTTGACAACTGCCTGCTGGCTGTGGTGGCATACGACCGCTATGTGGCCATCTGCCAGCCACTCCATTACAGCACGGCTATGAGTCCCCAATTCTGTGTACTAACGCTGGTCATGTGCTGGATGCTAACCAACTGCCCTGCACTGATGCACACACTGCAGCTGACCCGTGTGGCCTTCTGTGCCCACAAGGCCATCCCTCACTTTTACTGTGATCCCAGTGCTCTACTGAAGCTGGCCTGCTCCGATACCCACATTAATGAGCTGATGATCATCACTGTGGGCCTAATGTTCCTCACTGTTCCCCTCATGCTGATCGTCCTCTCCTATGTCCGCATTTCCTGGGCTGTGTTTGGCATCTCATCTCCTGGAGGGCAGTGGAAAGCCTTCTCTACCTGTGGTTCCCACCTCACAGTGGTCCTGCTCTTCTATGGGTCTCTCATGGCTGTTTATTTACTTCCTCCATCAACTCACTCTGCAGAGAGTGAAAGTAGAGCTGCCATTCTCTACATGGTGATTATCCCCATGCTAAACCCATTCATCTATAGCTTGAGGAACAGAGACAGGAAGGAGGCCTTGGGTAAACTATTCGGTAATAGAAAAATGTTTTTCTTACCATGACAGTGATGCCTGATCCTGGTATCCTGATCAACCCCTGCCCTTCATCATTTCAGTGATTCCACCACTCTGACTGATTTTTAAGGGAAGATTATCATGTAACTCTGGGTTAGGGGTGTAACAAAAAGGATATTTCCACTCCTTTACTTGGCTCTAGAATGAGCTGTTCTGTCTCAGTCTCTCTCTGGATTCCAGTGAAGCATCCATTACTAAGGGCAGGACACCATTTCCCCTTCCTCATCTCTAAGACCAAATTATTAGCCAGAGTGGACTAAAGGATATGATTCATGCTCTGGAGCCAAGTAACCCTGCCCTTGGGTGCTATGGCACAAGGTAAAGGGATGAGAATACAAACATGTATTGAATATCTACAAGGTTCCTCATTGTTCTTCACATCAGTTCTTTGAGGTAGGATTGTGAAACGTGTGAGTCAGAATGTAAATAACTTCCCCAAAACAGGTAAATTTGATTCCAATACCCATCCTCTTTCTAGCACACCACATTGTGGAGATCCTGACAAATACTGAGTGATCATGATAGGAGATAAAGAATTAAATTAATATATATTTTACAGTATTTCCTTAATATTTCATTTCTTTAACTTAAGAACACTCCTTTCTGTTATTCTAGGTGAAAGAGAGTCAATATTTATGTGTGCCTACTGTGTGCCAATTTTGTACTAAGTACATGATTCATCCTCTGGGTTCTTTCATAAAATATTCAAAATACAAACACAAAACCATAAATCAAGTAAGTGTACTGGAAACTTTAGAGCAATAATTTGAGGAAAGGTAGTCTGGTAGAAATGGGTGTTCTGAGAAGTCACAAGCTTAACAGAGGTTATCTATTTGCAGTGGGATTACAGGTTACTATTTTTTTTATATCTAAATGTTTTGAAACATCTAGATAAAAATGTTCCAAATACAGATATTTTTAGAACCAAGGAATGAAATTTGAGGGTTGGCACAAAAATATTCCAATGATTAGCAAGTCACTCCAGAGAGATAAAGAAGTACCTAAAAACAGAGCTCACCAAAGTTTCAAGGTCAAGTTCATCCTGTTTTTTATTTTTATTTTTTCAAAGATTTATTAATTTATTTTAGAGAGAGAGTGAGTGGGGGAGGGACAGAGAAGGAGGGAGAGAGAGAATCGCAAGCAGACTGCCCGCTGAGCATGGGGCCTAATGCCCCCTGGATCAAGTTTTTTAAAAAGGAGGATATGTGGGATGCCTGGGTGGCCCAGTCTGTTGAGCATCCAATTCTTGGTTTTGGCTGGGGTGATGATCTCAGAGTCATGAGGTTGAGCCCCACATCAGGCTCCATGTTCAGTGTGGAGTCTGCTTAATACTCCCTCTCCCTCTCCCTCTGCCCCTTCACCCTACTCTCTCTCTCTAAAATAAATAAATAAATCTTAAAAAAAAAAGAAGGAGGGTGTGACTTTTTGATGTCTTGTACAATAGCTCTTGCTTTGAAAGGAAGATTGCACCTGTGCGTGTTTCCGTTTGGCCATCATCCCTTCTCCCCTCTGTGCTTTCTTGGATAGAAGAGGTGGGAATAATGGGACAGCCAGCCAAACCAGACCATTAGACCATCCTGGCCTTGAAGTAGGTTACTTGGCCCTGATCACAGCAATCTACTACTGCAATTTCCAGTAAGAAAGCAAAGTTTAAAAGAGCAAGTTTTGTGTTTGTCAGTAATATCCCTCTTTTCTGAACCAATTTACTACATGTAATATCCCCACCTCTGCCCTCCAGTCATCCAGGTAGACCATGTTGTTTACCATCTATTCAGTCTGCTCTCTGCCCTGTATTAATAGACTACCCTAGATCAAACTCCCATTCCTGAAGCATTGAGCCAAATATGATTATATCCCTTAATAGACATGCACTCAATTTGTAAGGTTCATTCTTCCATAGGACCATTCACACTTTTGAAGGTGATCTTTTTAAACCAAATGGATCTCAAATGGATGGGATATTTCTGAAGATATTTGAGTCCAGAAATTTTAGGTGCAGGAATATAGCTAAATATAGGGCGGGCATACCTTATCAGTTTCTCCTTTTCCCATGTTCTCAACTACAGCTGCCCCTTATAAGACTCAGAAAATACAGTGGGATACTGTTTACGCAGAGCGAATGAATTGGAAAAGAAGCCTGCATATATACTGTAAATAAGGACTCCATAAATTAAATATTCATCGGTGCTTTACTTTTTTCCCAGAAGTTATATATGCTTCATCTGTCATTTTAATCAAACTTTAATATGTGTTAATTAGGAAAAGTATTTCTTTTACATACACAAATTTAGAGACTTTAATATCTAAGAATTCTACTATATCCTGTGGGATATAGATAGCTAATTACAACTAATAAAATTCTAAGAATGGAAATAGTCCTTTGTATAGTACAGAATAATAACGGAAAGACTTTTGGAAATAACACCATCTTAAATTTATATTTTAAAATGCTGTTAAAATACTATTATAATTGGGTTTTTAAATGACAATAACTGATGCTGTAAAAAAGCAGGTAAGGGAGATACTCCCAGGTGCTACTGAGAGTATAAATTGGCATAGATTTCCAGGAAATAAGTTCATAATATATATTATAAGCAAAAAATATTTGTACCTTATGACCTACTCTTTCACTTCTAGGAGTTTGATCAAGGAAAGAGTAAAACAATATTGTTAAAAATTTACATATAATGATGTTACTCATAAGAGAAACAGAAACCACCCAAATTTCAACTGCAGCTTGGTTAATTAAATTATGCTATGTCAGTATGATGGAGTAGTATGTGGGCTTTCCAATTATTTGATAACACATTTTTAACACAGAATAATGTAAACAGAAAATTCATTATTACTGAATTCATTATGAATTTATTCTTCATTATTCATAATACTTGGCTAAAAAAACTTGAGTACACCAAAATATTAAAAGTGGTTGTCCCAAGATGATGGAATTATGTATGATTGTCATTCACTTTCTTTAACATCCACTTTCAACTTGTATTTTCCACAATAAAATGTTACTTTGATAATCATGAATTGGAATTATTTTTAAAAACTTAAATCAATTTATTTTAGCCAACACCTATACTTTGGTTACCTGGAGTATGCTGTGGAGATAAAATTAATCTTTCTTAAAACAAACAAACAAATAAATAATCTTTCTCTTGTTTAAGAGAGAATTGCTAGAAAATTCCATGGTTTCAATGAATAGATGCTAGACAAGGTTATTATATACAGATCTTCCCTAACTTACAATGGGGTTATGTGCTGATAAGCCCATTGTAAGCTGAAATGATCCTAAGCTGAAAATTCATTTAATACACCTAACTTACTGAACATCGTAGCTTAGCCCAGCCTACCTTTAAACATGCCCAGAATACTTACATTAGTCTACAGTTGGACAAAATCATCTAACACAAAGTCTATTTTATGACAAAGTGTTAAATATCTCATGTAATTTATTGAATAGTCTACTGAAAATGAAAAAGAAAATGGTGGTGTGGGACAGAATGGTTCCAAGTGTATCGGTTGTTTACCCTACTGATCACATGGCTGACTGGGAGTTGCTGCTGCTGGCATCACGACAGCATCATGATATGTGCCACACATATTGCTAGCCTAGGAAAAGATCAAAATTCAAAATTCAAAGTACTGTTTGTACTGAATGCATATCACTTTTGCACCATGTACAGTCAAAAAATCATTAAGTTGAACCATCAACCATCTGTATTCTGCTACAAGGGAAAGGAAGCAGAGGGCTTTTTAAAGAAAATGAAGTATTTTTAAAAAAGCCAAAATAATGAGGTATTTAAAAAAATAAAAGTAATTATTCCATCTGTGTTAGAAATCAGTTGTGTTGTTTTCATTTGGCACTGAAAGAATTTTTGTCTATCCATACAAGCGTAAGGAGCCTGACATCATAATTATTCCAGGGTTAAGTCTACATTTCATTATCTATTTTATTAATCAGCATACTGAGTAGCATGAACAGACATTTATCCAAAGAAGACATACAAATGGTTTATAGACACACGAAAAAATGTTCAACATCATTAGCCATCAGGGAAATTCAAGTCAAAACCACACTGAGATACCACCTTACACCAGTTAGAATGGCAAAAATTAACAAGGCAGGAAACAACAATGTTGTAGAAGTTGTGGAGAAAGGGGAACCCTCTTACACTGTTGGTGGGAATGCAAGTTGGTACAGCCCCTTTGTAAAACAGTATGGAGGTTCCTCAAAAAGTTAAAAATAGAGCTACCCTATGACCCAACAGTTACACTACTGGGTATTTACCCCAAAGACACAGATGTACTGAAAAGAAGGGCCACATGCACCCCAGTGTTCATAGCAGCAATGTCCACAATATCCAAACTGTGGAAGGAGCTGAGATTCCCTTCAACAGATGACTGGATAAAGAAGACGTAGTCCATATATACAATGGAATTTTACTCAGCCATCAGAAAGGATGAATACCCAACTTTTGCATCAACATGGATGGAACTGGAGGAGATTGTGCAAAGTGAAATAAGTCAAACAGAGAAAGTCAATTATCATATGGTTTCACTTATATGTGGAACATAAGGAATAGCAGAGAGGACATTAGGAGAAGGAAGGGGAAAATGAAGCGGGGGAAACAGAGGAGGAGACGAACCATGAGAGTCTATGGACTCCGAGAAACAAACTGAGGGTTTTAGGGGCGCCTGGGTGGCTCAGTTTGTTAAGTGGCTGCCTTCAGCTTGGGTCATGATCTCAGGGTCCTGGGATCGGGCCCCGCATCAGGCTCCCTGCTCGGCGGGAAGCCTGCTTCTCCCTCTGACCCTCCCCCTGCTTGTGTTCCCTCTCTCGCTGTCTCTCTCTCTCTGTCAATTAAATAAATAAATAAAATCTTTAAAAAAAAAAACTGAGGGTTTTAGAGGGGAAGGGGGTGGGGGAATGGGTTAGCCCAGTGATGGGTATTAAGGAGGGCACATACTGCATGGAGCATTGG